AAAAAAAACCCTTCCCCTTCCTTCAGCCTTAAAGGCAATAAATGGAACAATGATTAAAATAATGAAATAATCATCATCACATGTCACATTCAGAGTGGCAGATTGTGTGGTATTAAAGTTGCTGAAGTTACTTGCAAAAAGACCACAATGCAAGTTGCTAAGTGATGCTGGAAATTTATCAGCTGACCCAACCCTTAGGATGATTCCAAAGGACTTTGATTTTTGGCCCGATGTCACTGTGCAATGTCTGTGCCATTTACGCTGGATGCACTCACTCTTAGGGCGCACATGTTCACTGGCTCGGCCTGGAGATTCACATGCAGGGAGGGGCTCTGGCATGAGCCACGAGGACTGCGCACGTGGGTGTGGGGTGAAGATGCCTAGATCTGCATACCATCGCACAGAGCAACTCATCTGCCTGCGCACCACAGAGAATAGAGGTGAGGTGTGTACTACAGGTCACCTTCCACCATACAAGGTACAGAACCTTGAAGGCAAAATAGGCAGCCAGTCAACCACAGGGAGATGAGGTCTTGAAAACACAGCAATAACAGTGGATTAGCCATGCCGGGTCATACAGACCCCTGACTCAAACTTTGGAGTTTCTGACAGTCTTCTGCCCAAATCTGGGGAAAGATTGCTAATCTCCACAAGAGATGAGTTCTACATATTGCTTTTGCCCTAGCCTCAAACTGCCAGGGCTCATCCATAACAGTGTTCAAAGGTCATTTAATTGCTAAACCAACTACGGCTGTAGTTGTATTTCAGTTAAAACAACCTTGTGGGCAGGGATAAGCCAGGACAGGATTCTGTGATTAAGGGCTGCTGTATGTTATACCCACAATTGAGTTGGGGTGACACACTCTGGTGGTAGTGTCCACACTGCATGTATTCACATGCAATGATTCATGCCAATAGCAAATCAGAAGAACAGACAGCACCGCAAAAGGTGTTGAGAGATTTCAGCTGTTATTTGTCCAGATATTCTTTGTGGGCAAAGTCTGAGGTGGGGGTTGGGAGGGGGAAAAGGGAGGGCCGAATGAGGTGTGGGAGATAAGAGGGGAGGTTCTTCTGACCATAATCACATGTGGATGATAATGACAAAAACAAAAGTATCCCAGAGAATGCGTTAAAAGGCAACAATGCGATTCTTGAACTTACATACCTAACACAAAAGAATAATGTTCTTCCAGGAACTTACCACATGCACACAAACCACTGATGTACAGTTGCCTTTGAAATCCGTGTACTAAAATCCAGATGGCCGATTTGTACAAATAATGGACCAATGTGCCGTCCAAAATACACCTGCATTTCACTGAATGGTCCAAATACCTTAAGGCTTTGCAAAAAAAAAAAAAAAAAAGTATGATAAAAAAAAAAGGTAAACAAAAAAAAAAACTTTACATAGCGTAAAACTAAAGGCAGCCTTTTATCCAGATTTCCAGCTGTTTTGTAAAATTCTGATGTGGGTTATTAACTGTTCACAAGTGATTCATATTTGGACCTATGGTTTAAAGTCTCCAGGTTGAAAAGGTGCTCTGAACTTGACTTTCAAAACAAGCTGACTGTCGCTATGTGCCCAAACTTAATTTTTTAATTAATAGCAGTAGTAAATAGCAAATATGACTAACTTGGGTAAAGAACTCCTGTTAAATTGGAGATAATTATTTAACCCCTGTTCTGATCCACAAAGAAAGGACTGCCGATGGTGTGTGTGTATGTGTGGACACACAGATCTGTGTATGTATAGATACATTACATATGTATACACACAGATCAATAGATAGGTAGGTAGACATAGATACATATATATCTCAAAAAGGCAGTAACAAAAATACCAAACTATGCTTGCATTGTGGCAGCAGAATAAGAGTGTTAGAGTGAAGGGGAAGATGGACAAGAACTATTAGTTTTAAATGTATGATAGATACTAGCTGAACTTTTACCAAACTTGCCTGTAACTCCCCTCCAAACAGACTTCTTTTAAGAGGAAGGAGTTCCTTACACAAAATGCTCTGTGTTCACATAAATCTGTACTAGTCAGAACAAAACCAGTTCTGCTGCAGAGATTGTGGGTTCGCAGGGACATTTAAGCTTTCATTAAACTGGAAAGCAATCAAGTCTTTATGTCTACAAATTATACATTTAATAGTTCCACAAATTTGGCAAAGTTCGTGATGACATCTAGGATGTTTTCACCAAATCGTAGACATAGATATGGAAATCATCATCAAACTTGATGAAGTAGACAGACGGTTTGGCTTCCACTTGATGGATGACCATGCCAGTCCTTTTAGAGCCGTCTTCTTTGGCATATTCCACTTGTTTGCCTACCAGGCTGTCCACAACTTCTCCTGGTTCCCTTTCTGCTGGAGGTGAATCATCTGTATTTAAAGGGAGAAAATAAGAATCCAAAGTCAATTTTTAAATAAATACCAACTTGCACATCTACTTTAATAACTTAAAAGTTAATATCCTGAATTCATCTTGATTTAAGCCAAAAGTCAGAAGCTTTTTTCCCAAAGGTCAGACAATGAACATATCAAGTTTTTGGCCTCTGTCCTGATGACTTGGGCCTGCCAGGACAGCACCAGCGGCACAGAGCTGCCCAGGGAGTTGGGTGGGGCTGTGTGCCAGTAACACTCTATTTACAAAAGTAGCTTGCTGACACCTTAGGCCTAGACGTGTAAAACACTTTAAAAATGATAACTGAAAATATGTTTGGTGCTTATTTAACATAGCTATAATTAGCCAAGGAGCTATAGTTACCCAAGGAGAAATAAAACTAAAGGAAGAAAAAAATGCAGACAATCACATAACTTCTTAAAAATTAAGCCTAAATTACTTTGAAGATTTTAAAGCTACCTTTTACTCTGTAAATCCTAAAAGCTTCCTTCTCTCAACCTCATCACACTACATACACACAGTCTTCTAATTCAATTTCAATTTCAGATTCCGAGTCCCCATGCTTCAAATACAGGTGCGCACTGAACTAAACCCTGAGGAGGCTTGGGCACCCGCGTCCTGGAAAGCACTGCTCTATTCCCTGCCAGCTGTGTGAGTTCTAGGAATACACACGAAGTGACAACAAATTATTGTCAACTTCACTTCAACGATAGAGAAAAGTGAAGAGAACAGGAGGAGGCTACAATTCTATCAGAAGCTCTGCAGGCCTTCAGCTTTTCCCCAGGAGAGGAGAGAGCATCAAGCAGGGCAACCGAGTCCAGGTGCCCAATGTGCCCAAGACAGTCCGGCTCATTGATGACAACCATTACTTCACATTCTCACATGTGTCCAAGTCTGGACTGTGTTTAACATTTATATTACAATAAATTCTCTCACCAAAGTACACAACGCAAACCCTACTGTCTGATTTCTGTAAACAGCCACACCGACACAAGTAAAACACACAAGCGTGATGGAATCCATCTCTCTATGGGAAATGAAGAGGAAACTTGACCTTAATTCTTTTCTTCAAAACTTCCCCTCCCTCAGCAGCAGCACACTGCCAAGTTTTCATGGCACTTTACCATTTACAGAGGAATTCCAAAGACAAGATAGCACTTCCTGTTACCACAACTTATTTTGAGTCCTCCTTTCATTAAATCCCAGCTATATAATTTCCATTATACAAAAGTATACAAACCTAAATTCTAAGTGGGCTTAAGAAAGTCAGGCTCAGAAAAGTACATCAGCATATCCATAGTGACTAGCTTATTCATAGGAAAATCTCTGAAAAGAACTGCAATGTCACGTTGCTGACATAAGTGTCCAAAAGATCACACCTGTCCAAGGTCAGGCATCCATGTATTTGCAGAAAGGTTATGAGACTTGGTTTTGGAAAACAAGACTCACCCAAAGATGAATTCAGAAAAGGGATTCTATTCACAATGACATCAAAAAGAAAAAAATACTTAGGAATAAAATCTCAGTAAATGGAAACACATCCCATGCTCATGGATATGAAGATACTTCTTAAACTGCTATGAAGATTCAATACAGTCCCTCCCAGAGTACCAGCTGATTGCTTTGCAGAAAAGTGAAAGCTGATTCCAAAATGCATGTGGAACTGCCATGTGTTTGCCAAACAGTCAAACAATTCTAAAAAAGAACAAAGCAGGAAGGTTCACACCAATTTCAAAACTTACTACAAGGCAAATACACCACTAGTGCACTGTGGCGCTGGCATGACCACAGACAGTTACACATCTACAGTCAACAGAGGTTCCCAAAAGCTATTCAAAAGAGCAAAGAACAGTCAACAAATGATGCTCAGACAATTGACTGTCAGTTACCAAAGAATGGTGGTGAATCCATACCCCACATCATAAAGATAAATCAACCAAAAATGTATCAACAATCTAAGTGTAATAACTAAACTGTATGACAGGTAAATATCTTCCTAACTTGGCAGTGGCACAGACTTATTGGAGTTTATGCCAAAGGCACATGCAACGACGACTACAACAAAAAAAAAATAGACAAATGGGTTTCCTCAATGTTAAATTCTTTTGTGTTTTAACGCACACTGTCAAGAAAATGAACACAACTTACAAATGAGTCTATCAAGGACTTGTACTTAGGATACGGACTCTTTCATCTCATTGATAAAGACAACCCAGTGGAAAAGCAAGGAAAGGATCTGGACAGACACTGCCAAAGACGACAAAGGGTTAATAACACATGAAAAGGTGCCGGACATCTTTAGTCCAGGGAAATGCAGACTGAAACCACAGTGAGACATGACCTCACACCCAACAGGTGCTGGTAACAGGGAGCAATCAGAGCCTCAGGATATCACTGATGACGACTGAAATTTGAAAACTGGTCTTGTGGAGGTTCTCTGAATGATTAGAAACAGAGTGACCACTGTGACCCATCAATTTTACTCCGAGGTATATACTCAAAAGAAAACAAATGTCCACCTAGAAATGTGTGCTGAAAGGTTCACCACAGCATTATTCATATCAAATGATAAATGGAACCCACCTAGACATGCTGACAGACAAACCTTAAAACTATGATGCTCCATTATGCTATGTAAGTCACAAAGGACTTCATGTTAGAAAGTCCATTTGTATGAGATCAAAGTTCAGAACAGGGAAATCAACAAAGGAAGTAATATTTCTTAGCAAAGGGGTGAAAAACTTCACAGCCTACTTTTGTTACATGCCAAAATAATCACAGATGCCAAAAATAAAAAGTTTAAGTGTCTCTGATGCAAATAGTGAAATTTATCTTGTTCTAAAAGGTGACTTCCTTTTTAAAATCATCAAAAACAAAAGTTGTCAATATATACTTACTGGAATCAGGCATAATGCGAAGGTCGCCTTCTTTATAATCATCTAAGAGCTGGTACATGTACAAGACAGGATCTTTCTCATAGGTAATGTAAAACCATGTGTTCATTATCGGTGCACGTGCTAACACCATTCCCCTCCACTCGTCTTTAGAACCATCCTCCGTCTCAAACATGTGCTCCACAGCCTTACCAATCATGGTGTCTGCTAGATGTGCATCACTGATTCGAGATGTTGCTGGGATATAAAAATAAACAGTGGTTTCTGAGGTGTTCTAGTAAATGCTTACTGTGAAGAGCTCAACTTAACTAAAGGGAACTACAAGGAATTTTATCCTCTTGACAGACTAGCAGACATCAGAGTTAACTGAAGGGCTTTAGGAAATACAACCACCTAACACATTTGTTGGGTCAAGGCCAGATTTGGTTCCATTTCAAATGAGTTCAAGACAAATCCTAATTTTTCTTTTTGTTTTTCCAAACTTTTCTGTTCTTGGTACTATACCTGCATTAGAATTCTCAATTATTCCTTCAAAGTACTGAAGTGTTGTTGTTATTTAATGACTATTTTTAGACTTGCAAAAGGAAATATAAAAATAGTAGCATTCCCATACCCTCCATTCACCTTCCCTTTTATATCAACATCTTATGAAACCACAGGCTGTTTATAAAAACAAAATTCAGCTCTTTGAGGCAAACACTTTTACTCCCGCTCTGACCATGTATTTTTCTCAGTGACCAGGGTGACCTGGGGCAGTCCACAGACAGGGATGTCTGCTTGTTTACAGTGCTTGAGGCCTTCCTTTCAACAAACTGCCCACAAAACATGAGGTCCTCCTGTTGTGTCCCTCCGCAGACACAGTCTTTCTGCTCCTGGAACCCCTCTGCTTCTTCCCATCATGCCCAGAGCCACACCTTCATGGCCGGCTCTTCTAGGACTTGTGACCACCAGGTCAAAGTGGAATTCCCAATCACAGAGGCCTCACCGTGTTTCTTACTGACACTTACCATCACCAGCTCACTTGCTTTTAGCCTGGGATGAAATCAGAGACCTTTCCTGCCTACTTTCTAAGACTTAAATCATTCCTTATGTGCTGTCTGAATTACAGAGCAAAGAGGGCCACCCAGAGCCCACATCAACTGCAGCTTGACTTGCTATTCCCCAGTAGTAAGCGGAAAATTACAAGTGTTATTTAGTTCTTTTAATACTAGGGAAACTAGAGGGTACTATCAACTGTAAGGTTTCTCTAATTCTCAACTTTTAAGGACCTGACTAAAAATTAGCACTTCTAGCTAATTCATTCACAAATGCTTCTATTTCTGCTTAAAAATTTCAAAGCAAGAAAGATTAGAATTTCTTAGCAAAGAAACTTCTTAAATTGCTTTCCAACTTAAACATCAGCAAACTTCAAACATACGATTCTTTACTTTGCCTAAGTATGTGATTATCATCAAAAAACACGTAGACTTCCCCACAGTGTATGACATCAAAACCAAATCCCACCAGTTTTTTTTTTTTTCACACCAGAAGTTCTCAAGCTTTTTGATCTCAGGATTCCTTTACATCATTAAAATTTTTTGAGAACCTAAGAACTTTTGTTTAGAAGCTCTAAGTGATAAACCTAAAAATATTTAAGAGTACCGATAGAAACAATGCACTGTTAGTGAAAAATACCTGCACTTATAAAAAATGTTTAGAGGAATGGCACAATTTTACATTTTTATAAATATCTTAATGTGAGCTACTTAAAAAGGACAACTAGAGTCTCCTAGTGTTTTAGCATTACATCTGCTCTATGTACTTTTGGTCAGTGTATAAAACCTAGCCTCACAAACTACATGATACTGAAAAGGAGTATTCAATTCATCTTTTAAGATCTTCCTAGATATTCTATGACACTATATTAAAACTGAATAGTAACTGCCCTTAAAGTTTAACAGCAATGTTGCATCTGAAGCCATTAACACTAAGTGATATATTGTTAAAATCTGTCTCTTGAATATGGGGGGGCAGGGGCTGTTATAAGTCAACAAATTAAATAAAATAACCCAATCAAAAAATAAGAAAAAGACCTGAACAGACATTTCTGTAAATACAATATACAAACAGCCAAAAGACACACACAAAGGTGCTCAATCTCTAGTCACCAGGGAAATGCATATCAAAACCAGTGACATATAACCTCACACCCATAAGGAAGGTTACTATGAAAAACAAAAGGAAAAAAACCCTACACAACAGAAGAAAGGAAGAGTACTGGTGAGAATGTAAAATGATACAGTCACTACAGAAAACAGTATGTAGGCTCATCACCAAATTAAAAATAGAACTTCACAAGATAAGCAATTCCACTAGTTGGTAAAAACCCAAAAGATTGGAAAGCAGGGTCCGGAAGAAATATCTGCTGCTTAACTGCAGCACTGTTCATTATACCAAAAGATGGAGCAACTCAAGTGTCATCCCATGGAAAGATGAATGGATAAACAAAATGTGTTCTATACATACAACAGAATATTTTCAGCCTTAAAAAAAAGGAAATTCTGACGATGCTACAACATAGTTGAACCTTGAGGCCATTATACTAAGAGAAAGAAGCCATTAACATAAATATTCCACTTACGGTGGGGGGGGGGGGTCAGGGAATTAAATGCTTTATGGAGATAGTTGCCCTATTGCAGAATGAATCGTTCTACAGATTTGTTTCACACCAATATGAATATACTTAACAGGACTGAAGTGTGCACTTAAAAATGGCTAAGTTAATGTGTTTCCCATTGTGTGTTTTTATCACTTTAAAACAAAACTGTGTGATTTAAAAAAAAAATTGTCAGTCTTTGAATGGATATAATACTAATTCATGATCTGGAAACACTAGGCATTACTCATATGAGACTACTGTGTTGACTGTGTTATACAGATTTTCCTGTTTAAGAGTGGACAAGGAAATCCCATCTTAATCAGACAAATAATGTTGACCTCCTGAAGACATATGGGTTTCAGAACCTCGGTCCCTAGACCACACTGTGGGAACTATCACATGCTTTTAGGGTGACTGGCTTTTCCATAGCTTTTTAGCTTAAGTATAACAAAATTGTATCTATTACTGCACGTAGCAAATAAGCACGGAACATATATGAAAGTCAAATAATCTTTCAGACACAATCATTATAATTAACTACTGCTTAGATAAATAAAATTAATTATAATATACTATGTTATATATAATATTTTAATAAAATTAACTACTGGTTAAATTAGGTGCCTGACATACTGAAGGTCTGCAGACCTTTGGGTTTCCTTTTTTAAGTTGCTACAGTGTTTACAGCAGCAACCCATGCCTACAGTTGGAAATGAGATGCCCCAAAATTAGAAAGTTAAACACTAAGTAATCTTTAATCCTAACAACAAAGATACTTCTGTATTTCCAGATATTTTGGTTTGGTCAAATCATTTCTCTATCAGTTCAAAAAAATTTTTTTCCCTTTCCTAGGATGATGTAAGAATGGACTAAAACAGATCCTACAATAAATTCAGGGCCAGAAAGAAAATGCATAGTTATTTAGTATAGACAATGATATAAAGGCATGGACAATATTTTTTCAGTCCTTAAAAGTAGGACTCTCCAGTATTTGTATCCTATGTGGGAAATAGACTGCAGGCAAGGGCAAGAGGAAACAAGGCATGCATCATAAGAACAAGGTATTCAGACTCTCAGAATGGGTAACAGAGTTAGCCTTACACAGGATGAATACAGACTTAATATTTGATATTTAAAGAGAAGACAGACCCCAAAATATGTGGTGGCGTGGCAAAGAATTAACCTACTAGGAAGCCCGTGTCCCAAGAACAAAGGACAAAAACAAGGGGTGGGCTGAGGAAGGAAGCTTGACAGAGCTTCTTCCCCTGACAAGGAGACATCACATCTCTACCCTTTCCACTCGATATCCACTAAGACTACGCTTTTTATTAGCATGGATTTTTAAACTGTTCCAAACATAAACCAGCATTTAAACAATAGCACTGTAATTGTGACACTAAAATATTTCAAAATAAACACTTTAAAAAAAAAACAACACATTAATTTGGGTGTATTCTACTGATCTTGAAAATATTTATTTTATTCTTAAAGAGAAAATCAATCTTAAACAGAAACATTATGCCTTAAGGCATGTAAGTTATACAAGTGCCTTATAACATTTAATAAAAAGAGGCACTCGTTTTCATAAACACTGTACAAACTAACCCTAAGGAATGGATAATAAAGCTCACATACTTTGGTTGCCTAAATTTTGGCTGAAAGTATAATCACTTAGGTAATAATACACAACAAAAGATACACTTCACATAAAGATTCTAAAATAAATAAATACAATCTTCCTTACCCATTATAATCTGATAGACTGAAATTAAGTATAGGATATTTGACATAGTAATGTTTTTACACAAGAGTCCAAATAATTAGTTCTCAATATTAGAACAAGAGTCCAAATAATTAGTTCTCAGTATTAGAAATTACCACATTAGAATTTATTGGATTGTAATCTTCTTGAAATAACTTCATACATCTTTATGTCCTAGAAAGTTCCTTAGATTTTGATTTTAGAAGATCTGCTGATCAATTTTTGTGATTAATGGTAACTAATTTAAATGTGTATCAGGAGTGCTTACCACTCCAATAAAAATAAATATACCGATAATACAAAAGAAAAATCAAAAAGCATCTACTTCAATCATCATTTATAAAGCATATAACACAAATAGTAAAAAGAACTTACCAACTCTATCAGGGAGGACTTCAAGCGCAGAAACTCTTTCATCTTTATTAAGTTCTAGTCCATATACACAGTCAAATCCATCGTATTTTATAAGATACAAAGAAGGATTTACAGGCACCTGGTCCAGAACGGTTCCTTTCCACTGTGTAACAGGGCCATTCCCCTCTTTCCACCCATGCTGAATCCTGCAGCCTACGATGTTCCGCCGGGGCTGGGAAACAGGTTTGCTTGGCCCCACACTGCTCCGATGTTTTCTGTATTCACACATACACACACATAAGGTATCATCTCAAAAGTATGCACTCCTAGATCCAACACAACCATTGCTAGCTTGTGTCCCACTGAAAGTCATCCAGAGTCCCGTGTTAGCTAACTCTACCTCCCTCCAAGTCCAGGTGGCTCTGGGTGTACGTTCTATTCCCACTGGCATGTGATGGGAGCACGCAGTGGGCCCCTTCTCTACCACTGTTGTAAATGTATGCTCTCAGCAGCAGAGACTTCCCTGTGGACCCTAACTATAGACAGGCAGGAAGAAAAAACCATGGGCCAATAACGACAGAAGCCCTAACATTTAAGCACCAGTTATTTTTGCAGCTGAGTTTCCTTTAATTTAATTCACAATTAATGAAAGTAAATAAAGGTCTGACCCTATGAATCATCACATGCATAGACCTTCATATAAAATGAATGCATTTCAATCAAAATGAAATGTGCAGCTATTGATTTCACCCCTTCTGATTCCCACATTAACTCTGTCCCCATGGGTTTTAATAAGTATCAACTTGACATTTAAGTTTTTCTTAACCTGTAGTCCAGGCTGGCTTATATCTATGTATTATATATACCATTGTTACTATTCTAAAAACACCTTAGTTAACCAATTAAACCTGTGGCAAATATATAACATTGAAAAACATTGGAATAACACCAACCCACATTCTTTCTGGATTGTTAACAACTGGAAGATTGACATACAATAATTACAAGTAATAAACCTGGCTCTTAATATTAGAGACAACCTCTTTATTTCACCTAGAAATCTAAAGACAAGGGACAAGACCTCTCGACAGCAAACCAGAGGCCAAACCCAGGCCAGCATGTGAATGCTGCTATAAGCCAAGAATGAAAACACCAAGTGAGCAGAAAAGAATTCCTTCTCAGTTTCATGAACATAAAGCTCTCATTTGGTACACCATGAACAGAAGTAATGAACATAAACTTTTTACAAGTCTAATTGTTTAAAAAAAAATTTATTGTAGGCTGTAATAGTTTAGTTAGGTGAGGCAAGGTCTTCCTTTTGCTTAAAGGAGGTCAAGCCACCTCGTGGAAAAAAAGAGTCAGTGACTACCTCAGGCAGGAAGACAGGGAAGGACCATTAGGAGACCAGGAACTGTTCCTGAGGACACACTGCTAAGGATAGAATCCGACTTACATGATGACCCATGGGATAAAAAGAAGATGAGGGTCAGACATTACCAAGCTGACCTCGAAAAGTGTGATGGCAGATACGTTCAAATATGTCACAGGAAAAGTGTGGCGCTGCCTCACACACAGAGGTCTCCAGAGGCATGCAGGCGGTCACAACACAAATCATCAAGGTGACCCTCAGAAGGAGGCCGTGTTTGGGGGCACTGATCCCAAGCACACTCTCAAGGTAGATGGGAACAGTGAGTGAGCAACACTGCTCAGAGACCACAAAAGAGGGCTCACAACAGAAAGACGGGCAGGGTGAGCCCAAGAGAAAAGACAGGAAGCAAGGGAGCAAGGGGAAGCCTTTTCAGAAGTGAAGACTGTGAGGAGCCAAGCAGGAAAAAGATGATGAGGAGACAGCAGGGCAGAATTAATGAAGAAGTAGTGATGGAGAGAAAATTCCAGTTATTTTTTAACAAAACTACCTAAAAATAAAATTTAAATGAATAGAAAAGAACACTAAAATAATCCCAAAAAACTTTCCTGAAATGAAAGACTTAAAATGTACAAATGCATCCCTGGGAGAAATGATACAAACTAACACCACAAAGATATAGCTTTCTTGGGCAGTTGGGCGAAAGGACCACATCACATCTAAGAAGATCAGAATGTGAAGCCACCTATGTGCCACAAAACATGGAGGGAAAGGGTCTCAGCAAAGAGAGTGCAAGTCAAAAGGTACCAGAAAAGACTGGCAGCATTATGAGACTAAAGAGAATGCTGCTCTCACAAGCACTTCTGGAAGAAGTTACAGAACAAGTTTCCAAAAATGCCTTAGGGAAAACTAGGCTCTCCCCTCAGGAAGAGGCAATTAATTCTGCCTTCTAACCAAGCTGCTGCAGCAATAGTTCATCCCTGTCTCCAATCCTCCCACTTTCAGCCCCCCACCTCATGCACACACACAGACGTATGCACACACAAACACACAGATACACAGGTCCTCTAGAGAATACTGACTACAGCCAGAAAAGAAAAGGTCTATCCCAGGTTCACAAGCATGACAGAGGCTTCGATACTCATCAAAACCAGCATCAACTCAGCCAATGATAGCAGAAGGGGTACCTACAGACTCAGAGTTGCCATCTTCATTGCTTCTGACACCGCTGAGTGTCGCTGTTCTGTACCACGTCTCTGTAGGGGGGAGAGGGAGGATGCCCCACTTTTCTTCCTAGTCACTCCAGGAGTACACAGGATTCCTCCCTCTTGAATGGCCCACGGGTCTACAGTTGGTCAGTCCCTCCTGCATCCTTTAATTCTGAAGACATGTAATCCTTCTCCTATGTAGATTGATTCTCACCTTCTTTAAGAGAATTTTAACGGTTCCCAGGTACCCTTTCAGTATTATTCTTAATTCTTAAAATGCTTTCTACTTGCAACATTTTTGTTTCACTTCTCACATTCTTCCTTCCTTTATCTGTGCAGCCAGGATGAATGACCTTTCTTTAAAACCATGTAAAACTTCTAATAGACACTGTGTGTCTCATTTCTACTCTGACAGCAATCACCACTAACTACTTATTTTTTCTACTTAAATCCACAACTAGTAAAAAACCTACACCTATCCTTCCCCAAGCCAAGCAAGAATAAAAACAAATTCTTAAACAAGAAGTGTTTTAAAAGCAGCACATGATAATAATCCCTCGTAGCTACTTTCACCTTACTGCTGAATTCAAGGTTCTGTTTCTAAATTGTTAAATTTCATTTTGCTACTAGTTTAAATTCTTTTACACCGCCTTACTCAGAAATAAGTAAGGATTTTTGTTGGTTCTTGCTTAACATTATAATTTTTTCATGTATATTTTGCCTTTCAAGCTACATCCTTTACTGAATCACACAGGGTATAGAAATGCAAACCTGGAATTCATGCAAGTCTAAAACTATTCTTTTGCCCTCATACCTAAACTGCTTGCATATACAAATTAGGTCCAAACCTTCTTCCTGTTATTGGGGTAAATGTTTTCATGTTTTCTACTTTACAGAGTTAAAGCTATCAGATGCCAATCTGATCCTTATTTCTTTGCAGGTATAACCCAACATTCCTTGTCTCTCCTTTATTTTAGAAGTGCACTATTATTTTTTTAAATTTTGAGGTAACACTGCTTTACAACACTGTATCTAATTCAGAAGTGTAGGATACCCCCTTCAGATGTAAGTCATCACAGCCACCATCAAGGGACCACAGTCTTCCACCACCGCCCACTGAGTCATCTCCATCCTTCCCCGTTCCTCTGGTAATCTTAATTCTACTGACAGATTTTTAGGGCTTGGTATTGGCTTGTCTGACTACCCCTTGTATTCTTCCTCTATGTACTGTATATAAGTGAAACCGGGTGCTTTTTGTCTTCTTTCTTTCTGACTTGCTTGCTTAGCATTATCTCCTCCTGCTCCACCTATGTTATTGACCATGGCAAGAAATCATCTTTTCATTTTTTATCACTGAATAATATTCCAATATGTATATATGCCATATTCTTAATCCACTTATCTTGTACCTAAGTACCTCGTGTACTTACATTGTGTCCATAACTGGCTATTGTAAATAATGCTGCAATGAACATCCGATTGCATTTCTCCCTCCTAATTAGTGTTCTTGCATTCTTTGCGTATATGCCTAGGAGTGAAATCGCTGGATCACATGGTAGATCTACTTTTAATATCTTGAGAATCTGCCACATTGCTTTCTATAAGGGCTGTACCACTTTGCATTTCCTCTACAAGTTGCTTTTAAAATATTCGTTGTTTTCTGGATTCTGAAATGTCACTTAAGACTTGTGACTTGTTAATTTACCCTTCACCAACTTGCTGGCATCCTTTAGTTATCAGTCTAAAGACAGCCACGCAAATTATTTCCCATAATGTTTCATAGCGTGTGCCCCCATCCATACTTAAAACACTGCAGGAATGCTAACATGTCTAGACCCACCCTCACCACTCCCTCATCCTGTGGTTCCTGAAGACATCCAGCTCAACTTTGTTTAAATTAGGCTAAACAGATTAAGTCTGAATTTCAATCTTTCCACGGAATGTCTTATAGGTAGTATTTTTGACTTCTATGAACTGACTGTTTACCTTATTTTGAACATCTTTTAAGAACCTGCCTCTAAGACGGGAGAGTAACACTCATCTCCTCTCCTGATCTCTCCCTAAACGCGTGGGGTTTGGGGCGAGTCTCCTTTGTGCCAGATTCAACTGCCATCTGTCTGCTGATTCAGTAGATCCTCTCATTCTAACGATTTTCTACCCTGCTGCTGAGAATACCAGAGATGGCCACAGAAAGCATCAAAATGCCTTGGCATCTTCTTCCCACTTCCTGCTCCTCTCCCTGATGTAATAGCTACGACAAGTTGTTAGACAGTATTACATTTTCACATTTCTACACCCTGCTTCAGTAGAAGCCTGCCCTGACGGTTATCCTGTATGTGTGTTTATGCTGGAAATGACCCATTTTTCAGAGGAGACAACAATGCATGCAAGTCAGAAAATTTCATTTTGTTGTTACTATGCTTCTAGGATCACTGCCCTGTTTCTGAATCTAAGCTCCATCACTTCTTGTGTGATCCCCACCCCCCCGGGCAAGTTACTTAACCTCTGTGCACAGAAGGGTTCATGTTCCTATTGGACAAGAGGGCTATGGAAATGACACAGAACCACATCAGGGACAGGAGGCAGCAATGATAAACTCTGTCAGTGCCTAGTACTTCTGCCTGATTAATGGAAGGAAAAAGTTCCTGGAAATAACAGCACTTAAGTGTAACCATCACTCATTTCTAACTGCTCTAGGGAGAAACATACCAGTAAGCCCAGTCACCCTCCATGGAAATCTGCCTACTACTCAAATTAGGGAAGAAAAAAATATTGTGACATTTGAAAACTGAAATGAAGAACCATGAAACCTAAATTCATCCTTTCATTTTGAATTCTCCCTTGTACTACATGACATGTTAAAGGCTTCCGGACTGTAGATGAAATAAGCAGGCTTCCTGCTAAAGCACTAAATCAAGGTTCATGTGGTCCAATGAACAGGATGACATCTTTTAGCTAATACACACATGAACTTTGAGAACTGAGTAAGTAGATATTCGTTCCTTGTGCTTTAAGGAAAAAAAATAATATATCAAAGTCATGTGATAAGAACCAGTTATTACTTAGGATGAGAACATGAAATCTTTCTCAAAAGCTTAAACCCCAAAATGTCTGAAATCCAATATAAACAAACTTAATCATAGTTGGGAACATGTAAAAATGGATGAAAAAAAATGTACACTCTTAGGATCACTAGTCTTAACCTAATCAGTAAAAATTGATTTTGCATGATCATTCTGGTCTTGCAAAGTTAACTCACAAACGTACTTTTATTCACCACTGTATTTAACAATTTATCACCACATAACATTTACAGCTTATAATTTGTTTTTACTGTTACCTTCTATTTGTAGAAAGACATGGCTTACCATTTAAGGTAACAACATGGTAATAAATGAGATCTTTACAGAAATTTTCAGATCACTTAGCAGGACAGAAAAGTAAAAGTAATGAGCAAATGAATGAAATTTGAAAATACTTCATCAAACTTTAGGAACACAAGAGCATACTTACCAACCTTCACATTTATTTTCCAGGTAATTTCTTAAAATGAAAATTACAAATATTTACATTATATCCCATGTATTCATTTAAATGGGAGGTATGTTTGCTTTCATCACTAACAATTATAAAAGGGCATTGCTATTTTTGTTGACTGTTGCTAGCAATGAGTAAGTTTTCCCCATCCAACCACTACAGAACAGTGACCAAGGGGCATTAAGTTTCTCAACAGGAATAATTTGGAAGAGAACTGCCTCAGGAGTGCAAGTCAGGAGGGGCCTGTTGACAGTCACTTATGACTAAGACTCAGAATCAGAACTGATCTTATCAAAACAGCTTCCATGACAAAGTAGCAGCCAGAATGGATGACAGCACAAAGGGGATAGTATTATGTAAGATATTGTACAGAGCAATATCACACACCAAGTTTTCAAGGAGGAAAACTGTACTCTAGTATCCATAACATTTAGGATTTATGACAAATTTGTCACTTATGATACATGGCTATTTAATTACCATTCAACATTCAGAAGCATTCTCTATAAAGTTTTTCTTTCACTTGAAAATGTCATAAAGCAGTGGGAGTACACTGGGCCACATGTCAGTCAGGTCTCCCAGCGTAAGCCACAGTGTCCATCCACAGGAGCAACTTGTCCAGCAGGGGAGTCCATGATGGGGGAAGATGTTACATGCAGGAGCTGTGTGATCTCTCCCACCAAGGAAGAAGAAAGAAGAGTTCACCTAGCCCCTTGCCTCCCACCAGTCCAGGTTTATAAAGGCGGAAGAATGAGGACAGGACACTCAGGCCAGGTCACCAGGAAGGAAGTGGGCAGGAACAAGGCTTCACACCAGTATTCAACATTCCCAGGGCACAACCACAAACTTGCTATGTGCCCCAAGGCTTCTTGCATACCAGGGAACAAGGCACCACCCAGGTGACCTCATATCCCACCAGTAACAGCCACAACCCCCTATTTCAAAGCAAACTTCATCTGAACTGGGGTGGGAAGAGTGCACTGGACTGTGGTGATGGTGATGGCACACAGGTGAACTGGTGGTAGGAAGCCCATGGGGATCACAACTGAGAGGAAAAAATGCACAAAATGAAGAATGATGTAAAAAAAAAAAATTTAAATAAAAGCAAACTTCAGAAGAGCTTACTTGTGGGATGTCCTTTTCTTCATCATGCTTGCAGACACACCAGCATGGCCTAAAAAAGAAAAGCGTATCAATCAATCAATGAAAATTGCACAATATCTCAGAACCTGAGAAAAAAATTAACTTCTGAAAAATTGCCATATAAAGAAAACCATAAACAGCCACCATGTTTTTAAAAATCTGTTTATTTAAGTATTATTAAGAAAGGTTTCTGGGAAAATAGTTCTTCTCCCCAAATCAGCCATAAAACAGAAAACCAAAGTTAGGTGCGAAAAGACTACAACAAAAATAAATAACAACCTTAACTACAGAATTACTAAAAGGGGAATAACATATAAAAATAGAAAACATGACAAAAGATATGAAAAACATCTGGATCCAGACATGAAATGGACAGGCAGCATAGGAGTTTGGGCCCAAAGAGCAGAAAGTCCATCTGGGGCCCCTACTGCTTCCAAAAAACAAAGCAGATAATGGTAACTGACGGAGAAACCAAGAACACTGGTTGTTTCTAATTCTGTTTTGTTTTGGTTAGGTTTGGTTTGGTTTATATTAAGAGGCAGACTGAAGTTGGAAGGGTAAGGTAGCTGGGATTTATAGAACAGAGTTAAAGGAAAAAGTGTCCCAGATGGAACATATAGGAGATGAGGCCAAAGTCTTTGACTAGATATTAACCTGCAAGGCTTGAAAGCTTTCAAACCCCACCTAGCCACCTCTTTGAAGAATTGGTGGATTCAATACAATCCCAAAAGGGGACTCCCTAAGCAGGAAGACTGGAGCAGCCCTAAAGTTACCACAGATCCATCCTAGATCTCTTGGCCAAAACAAAAGCCAATGCTCGAACACTTTTCAAATACCCAAACCCCTAGAAAAATTACTAAACATGCAGAAACAGCAAAAGATCCATAACCAATCAAATTTTAACCAAAACTATGCAATGAACCAACAAAGATGTTCAAAGCACTGTAATTATGCTCAAATATTTAAGACACAAAACAGAAAAATGGAAAGAAAAGGAAATAGAAATTGGCAAAACTGAAAAACAAAAAACACATATCCAAAGTGGAAAAAGAATTTCATGGAATGTAATTAATAGCATGTTAGATTCCACTGAGAAAGAGATCAGTGAGCTGAGACACTTCAATACAAACTGTCCAAAATGGCTCAGCAGAAAGAAAGAAATGGCTTGGGGAAATACGAGACAATTTTCAAGTGTTCTAACTTAAATGAAGCTAGGCTCCATCAGAGAGTAGTGCTAAGGGGTGAAAGAAGAAACAAACCCAAAATATACAATGAAGTCAACGTAGGAACAAAACAAAGTGACAGCAAGGTACACTTTGCTGAAATTTTTGAAAGCCCTTGACAAAGCACTTTTAAAACAATAAAAGACATAAAATATAAATTTAATGTCAGGAACAATGGAAGTCAGAAAACAGTAGAATAAATCTTCAAGGTGCTACAAATGTAAACCAACAACTTACTTGTGAACTTAGAATACTATATTCAGCCAAAGTACCTTTCAAATCCAACAACAAATATATTAAATGCAAATAGTCTACAGGTACCAATTAAGATTACATAAGAAAACAATTATTAATCTAGACAAAATGACTTCAAAAGTAATCAAAAAGAACATGCCAAAATTACCAAAGAAGCTGTAATAGTCTTAAATATGTATGAACCTATTCACAGAATGCTGACATACATGAAGCAAAAACTGACAGATTTGATTTAAAAAACTGACATACCCACAGTGACACTTAGAGATGTGAACTCTTCTCTCTGAGTAACTGATGTAACAAGTGGGTAGAAACTCAGGAAGGTTACAGAAGTCCTGAATGTCACAGCAGCCAACTTGACATTTATAGAATACTAATCTAATAAGTTCCAAAATACACATTCTTTCCAAATTTACATGACACGCAGACACCATTATGCTACTTATGATGAAAGTCTCAATATACTAGCAACTTAAATCACACGTAGAATGTTGCTCTGACCGCATCACTTTTCAGAATTAAACTAGAATAGTAAGGTATCTGTAAATATTTAAAAATCAAACAACAATCTTCTATACAACCCACATTCAAAGACAGAATCACAACAAAAATTCAACTATTTAAAATAAAACCAAAATGCTATGAAAATCCCTCTAGGATGCAGTAAAAGCAGTAACCACTATATTAAAATTAGCATTAAAGAGTAAAAATGTAGGCCCTCCTTGGTGGCACAGCGGGTTAAAAGCACAGCATTAAGAAGCTAAAAACACTTCTGCATGAGTTCGATTCCCGCCTGCCCCGGAGGCGACCACATGGCGTGGCAGACCTCTCCTGACCCGCCCGCTGCTCCCCTCAGCAGTGTACTTCGTCAATCTGCCTGTTCTGTACCCCACTCTGTCTCTGGTGAAGCCCTTCGCCGCCCCTGAGCCTCTGGCCTGTACCCCAGTTCTGTATGTACAAATAAATAAAACTTTTTAAAAAAAAAGTAAAAATGTAAAGAAAATAACTTTTTACCATAAACTCAGAAAAATGGTTCTACTGAGTGGAGGGGGGAGAGGTTTCTAGGTTACCTACAAAGTTTTCTGTCCTTGGCCTTATATTAATGTATGCATTGTTTTAAATACAAATTCATGTACTAACATTACAATTACAATTTTATTCTCTTTATTTTTTAAGATTTATTTATGCATAAGAACTGGGATACAGGCCACAAGTGCAGGGGGTGAGAGGATTCACCAGAATAGGGAGCAGAACAGGCAGATCAACTGAAATACACTGCTGAGGGGAGCAGCCGCCGGGTCAGGAGAGGTCTGTCACACCATGTGGGTCACCTCCGTGGCCAGGGATTGAACCCATGCTGCAGTGGCTGTGGGTAGCTTCATAGTGCTATGTTTTAACCTGTTGCACCACCAAGGAAGGTCCTCTATTTTTTTATAAGCATCTTTTAAGAAAAAATATTTATTTTACTTATTTATGCATACAAGAACTGGGATGTAGGCTACAGTTGCAGGGGGTGAGAAGATTCACCAGAGACAGAGTAGGGTGCAGAACAGGCAGACTCTGATCAGGGATCAAATTCATGCCACAGTAGCTAGCTATAAACTATAGCTTGATAACACTGAGACTTTAACCCCTGTGCCACCAGGGAAACCCTACAATTACAACTTTAGTTAACTGAAAAAGGATCTCTATGGCTAACTGGTCCATTCTTATGGATGAAGGGACTGAGGCATGACTCAATATTAAGAGTCATTCCCCTATTATCACCCAACAAGTTTATATGAGCTAGAGAAGTGAGCAGCTTATGTACAAAGGTAAGCCACAAAGTAGAAGAGCTTATCTACGTTTAGCATCCCTGGAACACCCCCAGACTTGGCATAAACAATGAAGAGTAAAACATTAAATAAATTAAATACACAGATACTAAATTCCAGGTCAGGAAGTTTATAACTAGCTCACTGCTGTAATGGAAACCAATGGTCACACCGACCTTCATACCCTGGAAAGGTAACAGTACCTAGGAGAGAAATTCAAGAAAAACTAGCTAAAATGCATGAGATGATCCTTGTGAAGGTGGCAAAACAAACAGTTTTGGCATGATTTAAGACACTCTGGATTACACAAAGAAAAATGAACCCTAACACACACTTGCAAAACATGGCCATCATGAGGGGGAAAAGCAACCTGAATAAAACAGCAAAGGGCATGCAAGAACAGAATGAAGAAAGTCAGGAGGACTACAAAGCTCAATGCTGGAGCTAGAAAATTAAGAGTGGAGATTCTATAGTAACATTACCTACAGCAATTGTGCACATTTTTCATGAGATTAATATATCAAAACCGTTTATATGTCTGGTTTTCTTAAAAAAATATATAGATAGATAGATAGATAGATAGATTTCATTCCAGGTCTAGAGTAACTGAAGCAGTCCCAGGAGTTCACCGCTTGTTCCACTACATCCTGTTTTCAAAAAGGACACCAAGCTTAACATTTGGGACATACCCCACACCCCAGGATGAGTTCATGAGTCCTCACTTCCCACAAGCTGACTTTTCTACCCAAAAGAGTACCGTGAAAGAAATGAATCTTGTATTTAGCACCTATGAAAGGATGAGGATTATTTGTCATTAAACAATACTCTTCTTAAATACATATGCAAACATCAACAATGAAGTTTTTTTAAAGTATCACTAAAAAAAATAAAAACAAGCAACCCTGTTATCTCATGATCCAAGAACCACAAAAATTAAATGAGACCCTTCTTTTACATTTATATACCAACCTGAAGGAAACAAGACATTCTAGTCACAAAATGGGAGCAAGAGGCATGAAAAGTAAAAACCAGAGCTCTTATAAAGTTTAAAAAAAAAAACTTCCCATTTTCATGTTAGCATGTAAGAATTAGGAAGTCATCGCTATGTCCTAACAAGAAGTTGAACAAGTTAAAAATCAACAGCACTTCTTAGGTTGGTAAGCGTATTGAGGTTACAAAGGTTAATAACTTCTGCCCCTAAAATAAAGAGAAGATACAGAAAACCACAAATCATTAAACAGAAGCCTCCTCAGGCACCCACGCTGGGTGGGAGCACTTAACTGTGACTGACTACCTCGCTCTAGGTAGACAAGGCTAAGAGAGAAAAACTAACAGGACACAGTCACGGGGGTGGGGGTTGGGGAAGGAAATGGGGCTCCACATTTAAGTAAATTTTACTTCCAAAAGCCCTATCAAGGTGAAGATCAGAGAAAGGTCACGATTCCGCATAAGTCTTTTTTTTTTTTTAATTTAGTTATTTTGTGCATACAGAAGTGGGGTACAGGCCAGAGGCTCAGGGGAGGTGAGAGGCTTCACCAGAGACAGAGTGGGGAACAGAACAGGCAGATCGACGAAGCACACTGCTGAGGGGAGCAGCGAGCCGGTCAGGAGGTCTGCCGCGCCATGTGGTCACCTCCGGGGCAGGTGGGGATCAAACTCATGCGGAAGCAGCTTTAGATTCTCAGTGCAGTGCTTTAACCCGCTGCGCCACCAGCGCGGGCCCGCAGAAGTCTTTTTAG